GTCCAGCCTGGAAGTAATAAATGCATGAACTAGTTTTTCAGCGTCACTCTGAGACAGGATATTTCTAATTTTAGAGATGTTGCACAAATGGAAGAAAGCATATTTGTTTAATATGAGCGTTGTAGGACATGTCCTGGTCAAAAATGACAGTTTAGGAAAACTTTAAGGCTACATAGTCTTTCTCTTTTTGCACCACTTACTAGAAACCACATGTTCCCTCCCTCCTTGCCAGGTGGAGGCTTTCATTTCTGGTGTGTTTTTAAAAAAGAAAAAGGTATTCTGCACTTTTAAAAGGGGCACACCAAAGTGCTTCAGAGTAAGGAATAATGGTAAATGATTACACATAATAATAAGTAACACAAGTCGCAACAATAGTCGTCCCAAGCTGCTTTATATCGTAAGATAGACTCTTCAGTAATACATACAGAGAATAACCCAACAATCATTTTTGTTTAAAACTCTCTTTTAACAGGAAGAAACCTCCAGCAGAACCAGGCTCTAGAGGGGCGGCCCCTTCATGTTCATAATGGATTACAGAAGTTGTGCATGTTAAACTGCAAAAGATGAGATGCTCCCTCAAAGGACCAACGTCCGGCTTCTACACCATTTCTGACATTTATTGAGAAATGGAAAGATGAACAATAGCTGCCTCTGCACAATTGGCTGCATGTGCATGTCTATAAATGTCAATTTTTTTGTCAACCTGCCTTGGTCAAATCCCCGCCCCCTCTTCAGTTTTAATCTGGCAGATGGGAGGGTGGGGTTTCAGTTTATATGTAGTATGCTCTTTTGCTTGTATGTTTGATTTGTTGTTGTGATTGTATAAAAATCAATAAAGAGACCTTGATTGCCACTGGCAGCCATGCATGCCTGAGCCATCTCTCTGCCTCTGCCGTGTTTTACAGATGATGTTGTATGCTTTGGATCATGAGCTGTTCCACATGTTCTCCATACTTTTTTCCAAAACTGTGTTGGCCTTTTTAGATGTTTTCCAAGTCTAGTCTAACCTTTCCATTCTTGAGGTTCATGAGTGGCTTGCATCTTGCAGTGAAACCTTTGTATTTACTTTCATACGTCGACCTCCTGCAGAGTGTTGCTCGATGTTTGGCTGTTGTGAAAGGGTTTTTTATATCCATGGACATTCTTAACAGTACTGTCAGGGACAGCTCTCCCCTTTGACCACATGTTGTCTGTTCACGGCTAACTGTTTTTCATGCATGCGCCACCAAGGAATAGCCCGCACCTGCTAATAAAATAGGCCTTAAGTCAATTCTCCTATTATTATTATTTTGGTCCATTTAAAAAGAGTGGCACATGTTAAGGAGCTGGAACTCCTAAACCCTTTAGCCAATTAAATTTGGATACCCTCAAATAAAAGCTGAAAGTCGACTTGTGTCAGTCTCCAAATATATATGGACCTAACTGTACCTTGGCTTCATTTGAAGCTGGTGATTTCTAAGGACTCAGGCCTGCTGGACATCATTGAAAACCTTGCCGTTAGTCCAAAGATTTATCACATGGTAGACTGATAAGGCACAAATTTCCCTTCCTATTAGTACATATCCTTCCCCTCTACCGTTACCTATCTTCTTCCTTGCACATCCATGTACTCTCCCTCTGATGCCTTCCATTATTGTTGACAACACTTTCCTCATATTAGATTAAATGTGAGCATGTCTACAACAAAGTCACTACCTTTCTGTACAGCTGGTGTTTGAGTTTAGCCAGTTCACAGATGTAGTTAACTGAAAGACAAGTTAGTGTGTGTGTGTGTGTGTGTGTGTGTGTGTGTGTGTGTGTGTGTGTGTGTGTGTGTGTGTGTGTTGGATGATTTACTGGACAGCAGGCTCTTAATTG